TTATTTTCTGCTGTGTTTTACTTGCATCTATTTGAAAGACTGAGTGTAAACACAAAAACTATTTTATTTTATGAGCTGGAATGTGCAGAAAATAGAACAAATAGAATTTGTCATGGCTGTGAAGGGGGGAGAGAAAGGACCCACATACTGGTATTCATGAAGGTCTTATTGTGAGTGAAGTTTTTTTTTACAGTGGGAAAATAAATGAAATACAAACAAAAGCTGAACAAGGCAGCAACTACACTGAAACAAAACCTAAACTGGGTGGAAACTAAAAAGTGATACAAAGGAACAAAAGGTGGGCACTAGAAACCTGAGATGGGGAGCACAGAGAACTACAACAGGAGAAACACAGGGGAGGACAAGCAGAGAGACCAGCAACAAACACAGGGCATAAATACACAGGCAGTGATGAAGGAGTGAGAAACAGGATGGAAACACAGCTGGACTAATGTGACATAACGAGACAAAGGAAGCTAAGAAGAATACACCACACACAGACAGGACAGGGACTAACAAAATAAAACAGGAAACAGGTGGTAAACATAGTGAAGGGGGACTTGATAAGGAGGCTGACTTTGGAGATACAGGAGATGAACAGCTTTTAAAATCAAGTTAAACTGCAGCAAGGGTTTGAGCTTTCACTCAAGAAAGCATTGGGCCAAAGACTAAATAAATAAGTTTGGACTATAGAAAAACTGTTCATGCTCAGATCCCAAGAGATGGATACACAAAATCATCACAGATTTCATATCATAGATTTCAAGGGACAAGTATCATGGTCAGCAGGCAACTGTCATAGACAATCTTGGATAAATGTAATGTGTAAAACCTTAAAATTTTAAACATTACAGTCAGTTACACTCTGATTTACAAATCACACTGATACGTACACATATTCAAGTGGTTCCTAGTAGGGCTGAACGATATATCGCATTTGCGATAATATCGCGACATGATCAAGTGCAATTTTCTAACCGCAAAGGCTGCGATTATACTCT